TCCAGCTGAACTCGTCGACCAAGTGCTCCCTGTCAGAGGGTCGTCATGATGGCCGAGGGCAGCGCGGCATCCATGTCGACACCTCCGCCTCAGCAACATGGGGCACTTGGTGCGCAGGCCCGAGGAGCCTCTCCGAGCCAGCCGAGAGGATCATGGAGACAACGACTGGTGCGACCGTTCAGAGTGCGTCTAATCGCCTTTTGGCATCCCAGCAGCCTTGCGCCCGGTCCACCACCCACTACACCATCCCCGCCAGACGCTCTTTTGGGTGAACGCTTCTGCTGTGGCCGTTCCAGATCACCTGCAGCCAAGGCGCGTCCCGACACTTCTCTCAAACTTGCGCCCAAGCGGTTCCGTTGCGTCAATCACAGAGATCATTGCTCTTCGTTGTTCCTCTCGGATGTTGCAACCCCCGTGCATTCATCATATAGCCTAGCAACCCCTCCAACCGCCTTTCCTACTATTTGGCCCGTCACTCTTTAGGATCCTGCCCAACTACTATCTTCGTATACATTTCTTTCATTTGGAGCGGGCTCCATCCGCGCTGGCTGCGATTGAGAACTTTGTTCTCGTACACTCATTTGAGAAACTTACATCCACCCCGGCGCCACATCTGCTCAGCCATAGTCGCACAGCGCTATCGCCCTGCCACATTCCTTTCTGCAGCCGTCTACTTTCGTTATCAATGTGAGTTTCCTAATTGAGTATTGCTCGATGTCACTCAGGGCTTCGACGGGTGATCCCTTGTCTAGCAGTATAGCCTAATCAGTCGCTAACCACGTTGCACTACAGACTACTTCCATAACATCTTACGGTCGTTGTATATAGAGAACGGAACCCAAGATGGAGTTCAATGCGGTTCAACAGTGAGTATTCTCAGTCATCTTTGCTTCGTGCGCGCATACTGACGGCCTTTCTAGGTACCGTCCGTCACCTAATCGGCAGTACGCCATGGGGCATCCCTCCCCCTCCCCAGGGATGCAGTCAATGTACTCTTACGCAAGCCTTCCACCTCATGAACAGCAACAGCAACAGCAGCAACATCAACATCAACAACATCAGCAACAGCAACAACAACACCAGCAACAAGGCCTGCACCCTATGTCCAGACCGTCGCCACCCCAGCCCACGTGGGCTGTGCCGCAAACCCAGCAGTACTATGCTACGCCGCGGGGTCCTGCTGTAGGCAGCAGAGAGGATCAACGACAGTTTATGGGAAGACCGGACATGATGACTTCGCAACCGACTGTTACCAGTGGTGTTGTCTATAGCACCACCATGACTGCCCCGCAATCGCTTGCGACGACCGACTACTTTCCCGGCGTCATCGACACAAGTAAGCGTCTTCAGTAGCTGACATACATGTAATGCTAACGAACAAAGGTCCATGGGGTCAGAAGGTGTGCGAAGAGTTGGAATCGTTTCCTTCTCTAGAGTCGGATGTGTCGGACTTCAGTCATGGCATGATGGGACACGATGAGAACACTCCGATCATCGACCTACGCCAATACAACAACATGGGCCAACAAGAACACGACAACATGGCCAACTTCAATCCGAACTCCACCCGGAGACTGTCCGAGTCGTCTTTTTCGATGTCTAGCACTGGCGGTGTGCTTCCAGAGCCGGCGTCCTACGAAGAGATGGGATCATCGGAACCAGTTTCATATCCGTCTGAGTATGAGACTTGGAACCACCCGGAGCCGAGTGCCAGCCATCTTCTGTCACCGCTTGCCTCACCACGACGACCTCAGTACGATGGCGTTGTTCGAACTGGAAGTCGCTCCCGCGTGTCGCCGACACCGCACAACAATGTCCGCTCATCACCATACACACTCGAAAGCACTCGGTTCAAGAGGTGGTCTACTGGGCAAGCGCCAACATCGACCCCAAACAACTCACGCCCAATGTCACAGGTTTCGGATCGTTTTGCGCCATACGGTCCCCGCCTGAACCCCCACCACTCGCTGCCCGCTTATCCGCCAAGTGCCTACAACAACTTCGGCCTACCAACGCAGAACGTGTTGTACTCGCAATCGAATTCTCCCTATGCCAATAACCAGCCATTCTTCGCCCACCAAGAGCAACAGCAGCATCATCTCGAGGTGCCTCGACCGCTACCTTCGCAGGGCCTGTTCCGCTTACTCCAAAGTAACGCGGATCGTCACGGCGGCTGCTCATCACACTTTGCAGACCTGTCAGACCCACCTGATCTTTACTCCTCCCTGCATGAGGAGGCACTGAACCCACCGGAGTCCGACATGAACCCGTCCGATCCCGACCTTGTACCACACGAGCAGGATCTTCGCTTTGTTGGCGACCTGTACACCCCGCGTTGGGTTCGCGGTCATGGAAACAAACGAGAGGGCTGGTGCGGTCTATGCAAGCCTGGCAGATGGCTTGTACTCAAGAACAGCGCTTTCTGGTACGACAAGTCCTTCACGCATGGTGTCAGTGCAGCTACTGGCGCGGCATTCCAGGGCCCGCAAGACACGCGCCGGACGGAAGGCAATCTTGATGTCTGGGAAGGACTTTGCGGAAGTTGCGGTGAATGGATTGCGCTCGTCAGCAACAAAAAGAAGGGAACGACGTGGTTCCGACATGCATACAAGGTAAGTCATACGTCCTCCACATTCCACGGTGCTTGGCTATTGGCTCTCGGTAGTTCTTATTCGCCTCTTCACCAACTATTATAAGATCAAGTATGCTAATAATGCCGCAGTGTCACACACATCCCAAAGTCAAAGATGGCCCCAAGCGCCGCCGTGAGACGCAGGCTGGGCGCGTTCGTGCAGCGTCGTCCGCGTCAGCGACCTCGTCTTCGTATCCAGTCAACCCGGAGCTCTCGACGTCGGACGCGACATCTCACCGCCATTCTACACCAACACCGATACCCGGTAGTTCGTCGCTCCAGTCCTACGGCATGTCGAGCGGTCCGTCTCCCATGCCAACGTCCACACCAACGTCGACCCCGCAAGTCAACACCTCGTGCTATCCCAGTACAGCGTACCCAACACCCACTTCAGGCACGCCCAACATGCATTCCCTTCGAACCCCGACTGCGACGTCATTTGGAGATGCATATGGCGACCCTTCTAGTAGACACGAGCCCGTAGTTGGCATGTTTACCACGCCACTCCAAAGCCTGCAGAGCTTCTCCGGCCATCAATATTCGCATTCGCCAAACCTCTCGCATCAAGTCAGCGAACCCGAGCTTGTGGGTATACGAACGACTACCACAGCCCTCAACTCGATCGCAAGCATGATATGAGTCAAACTTCGTCCTCTAGACTTTCTTTCACAAGCAACAATTGTGTCCTGGGTTTCTCTCGGCGTCACCGGCTCCACGGTACATCAACGGAGGGGTTGCACTAGAAAGACTATCGCACGGGTGGGTGTGGTACGGGTATCTGAACTTCCTCATTATTGCGTCTAATCTCGCGTCGCGTCGTCGCCTCGACCATTACTACACCCCTTTTCCAGCGTTCTTGGTTTATAGCGTTCCCATTCCCGCAGCAGCGTTCACTCATCAATCTCGGCATTCACGAAGGCACGACTCCCAGCATTTTCAGTAGTAGCATAGCAGCCTTTCTGTCATCATCTCTATCCCTCGACATGTCACACTGTCACACACACCAGCGATATCCCCACCTCCTTTACTTTGCCAACCAACGTAGGTAGAACGTAGTTTAGTCCTCGCTTTTTTTTTTTACTTTGCGCAGCGCAAAAACGTTTATAGACTTGTTTTCTCCTGCAGAAGTTGTGTTGCAATACCATTGAACAAAGCGTTGAAAAGTTTTACAATCACAGACGAGAAGTGTTGAATTGGCTATATTTGGATGATGGAAAAATAGAAACGTGTTGAGCAAACGTGCTTAGGAAAATAAAAAGACCGTTGGTTTGGTCGACTGGACCTGCAGCGAGCGGTGCGGGAACAAGCAAAAGGATGCCCAACGCTCAGCCACATCCGACACTTTGATCTTTTTCCCGCACTGCCACCTCACCAACTCACCCAAACATCAAAACCACAACTATAACCACAACCACACCCACAACCACAACACCCAACAACCAACACACATCTTCTTACCACCACCCCACCTCTCACATCCCCTCCCCCCTCCACTCCATTCTACTCACCCAGCAACCACCCTCACTGTCAACATTTGCCGGTGAGACCCAGATAACGCCTCCCGCACATGCGGTGTTTCAGCCTTTTTGCCGTTGGGTCTCAGATCCTGCAGCCCGAAACTGAGGCTGTGACGAGGCTGTGTAACGTGGATGAGGCCGTGTGGGTTGGGTGTGGACACATGTTGGGAGTTTTGACCGAGGTTGAGGCCGTCGTCGGATGGTGGGTGGGGAGGGGAGGGACAGTGGGTGGTAGGGAAAGTGGAGAAGATATTTGGTTAAAAATAGTTGAGAGGGTATATGATGTTACTCATATTGGGGAGGGTTGTTATTAGTGATGTGGTTCTTGCTTCCTGAGTGGTATCGTAAAGGCCACGCGCGCTTTGCGCTTCCCATCACGAACAACGCCGTCCACATCCAGTCCTTATCCCGCGAAATCCACACTTCCTCAAACTTTATTGACATTCAGGAAATTACTCATGCGCAACGTCCTTCACAATGGCCCGCCATGCGCTCTCGTATCCCGCGTATCCCTCCATACCACAATCCTGGCCTCGTATCCTGAGGCTGGGTCGAACTCAGGGTCCAAGCGATGCCGAACGGGATCTACGACGTGGCGTTATCCGGGTGTATGCACGACATCGTTCCTGATCGGTAAGGGTGGCTTTTGAGTTATATGAAGGACTGTTTGTCTGCCGCTCCGGGAAAGAGGACGGGTAGGGGTGGATGTGGAGATGGGAGATTATGCGGGATATGCGGATCTTGCGGGGGAGGGCTATGGTCTGGGCAGGCAGTGCGATTGGAGGGGAGACGAGGTAGAATTAGACGTGAGGTTGATGGTATGGTATAGAAGTCTGACGTTAAGTGGGGTATCAAGCTGAACACCCGCATCCTGGTTTGCCGTAGTGTTTGAAGTCGTCGTAGGCGGTTCTGACGATAGTCTCGACCGACTCTGATTTGAGTCCTAGGACATAGTTCGAGTTGCGATTCCTGAAAGGTCTTGATGCGTCCAGTTGTTCGTCATACAGCACGCTCCGCTCGAGCAGAAACATGCCTGAGTCGGGAAATCCTTTCTCTATTCTTTTCTCTCCCTCTGCAACACACTCTTGGACATCGTGATTTCCGACAGTAAATTCACGGCCAGTCGTCTTTTCAGTAGATCTCAGAACCTCGTTGGCAGACGTTATGACGCCTGCAGCGTATATGTATTGGTTCCTGACTTGGTCCCAGTGTGTGATGACGCGTTCCACGACGCGTCCGACTCTCTCCAAACTAGAAGCTGCGAAAGCTTCAGTGCCGATGCCGTGAATAGTCGCGCTGTGCCAGTCGAGATCGAAACCCATATTACCGCTGATAAGCTGGGTGTCGAGCGTATATCCTGTCGCAATCGCTGTCCATTCGAAATATGGGTAATCCTCCCGCATACTCCTCAGATGAGCAATGACCTTCGCCCGGCCGGCATCTTTTGGAATGCGCGCCTGTATTTGCTTGTTCATGCTATCGTGACTGAATTCATCAGGGATGAAGCGCCTGACGCCGGCGGCGATGGCGGCGTTGATTATGCGGATTTGTTGCTCTGAATCTCCGCCCGACATTGTGCTTATAACTAAGTCTTGTCCGGTCATTACTGATTGCAGTGAAGCAGACGAATAGCCGGATTTCTTGTGCTGTACATCGAAGGCCTTGACGTGAGGTGGCAGACTGAGGGTTTGCGAAAGATAAGTGAGTACAGTGACTTGATATCTGGGTGTTCCTTGTCGTTTCTCCTGTGGGAAAAGGGCGTTGAGGATGGTGAGGCAAAGCTCCCAGTTCTACGCGTGTTAGCCACTCGATGCCAGCCAGTCCGTCTCGTGTCTTACCCCTAATATCATGATCTTTTCGATTGCCATGTTGGTTTTTGGAAATCAAGGGCAGGTGAGGAAATGTCACACGAGTGCAGTAAGCTTCACCTTTACATTGGTTGGAAGATGAGGCCCCCCGCACTTGACACGGTGGAAAGGAAGAGCCAACACTGGCTCATTTCGTCATATAAAATAGGACCAGAAATGAAGCTGTAGAGGTCTGTGATATCCATGCGGATAAGAGACCCGACATTCTCTACACCAATCATCATGTTTGGAGTACTGTGCAAACCTTAAACTCTAGTGTTAGGCAGTCCGGCGGCGTGCAGCAGGGGCGTTCCAGAACATGAGCGAAAGCTATCGTGAAAGGGGATGCGCTGGGTTGACGCGACAGTATAGGAGTCTCAAAAACTTTCAAAGACGCAATGTTCGATACAAGTGAGTAGTCGTGGGGAAGTGCGGAGTTGGGAGAGGAAGGCAGCGCCAAGCCAATGCACGGACGCGGCAACTTCCGGGATCGCAGCTGTGCGAGCTTTTGCGGACGACGATAGCAACACCACCGAAACTCCCGCGACCGCAACACCATCTCCCCTCATCTCCCCAGGCTTCGACCATCGCGTTCAGTGCGTCAATTCCCCCTCTCGCAGGCTCAGCTCCGCCAATTGGACCCCCACAGCAGCGCGCTGACCCGCAAAACTCCAGATAGCCCATTATGAACGCCGCCCGCTTCCTCCGCCCCTTCTCCAGGGCCGCCGCTGCCCGCGCGCCCATGGCCGTCCGCCCCTCCGCCCTGGCGCGCCCCGCCTTCATCGCGAGCCAGAACAAGAAGACCGAGGTTGGCCCTCAGCAGATGGTGAGAATGGATATGGGACATGGTAGAATGAGGGATGGAAGCTAATCCAAGTAACAGACTATCCTCAAGTCGGCCATGCCCCAGCTCATCCCCTTCTTCTTCGTCAACGAGACCACCGTGGCTTTCATCCTCCTGCCATCGCTCATCTACATCTTCTCCAAGTACATCCTGCCCCAGCGTCTGCGCATGTTCGCTGCCCGTCTCTTCATCAGCAAGTTGTAAGCGAGGGGATTGGAAGGACCAGAAAGAGCGGATGACACTGTATAAGTAGTGGGAATATGCTCATAGACAATTCAATGGCATTGCACGAAGGATGGCGATTTGTGGAGTGATGACTACGGGGCATTCTCTGATGTTTAACCGATGTCTTAGGCCCGCTCACGATACTACGAAGAAGGACATGACAGCTGGAGAATTAGCGGAGATGTCCCAGTGTGTTCAGAGCGATAGCCCCGCATCGATGAACGGTAGCCGTGTCTCAAACCAGCGAAGAACGAACATGTGGGGCATCTCTTCAACTCATCAGGCTCAATCCTCAGATTTCGGTATCCTCAGACAATCACCCTGGTACGATCCACATCGATTGCAACAGCATCTCATTACCGGTTCTCGAACGGTATTTCGAAGGCGTGTGTCGTCGGCACACAACCATCAGTCGACCTGCCAAGTTCGGATGCGTACCCAGTCACTTCTAGCAGGGTTCCCTTTCAATTTGACGAGACTTGCCATTGCGGAAGCTGGATATCGATGTAAGACGTGTTAGTACCCACAACCACCTGGAGCGTCTGCCTCGTCTTTGCGTAGAATCAATTTTGAGTCTTGCTTTCCTTCTCATCATCACGGCAGTCGAGCACTGTCATCACTCTTGACCTTCCCATTTCCTCCTCACACTACCCTCCATTAAATACCGATCAACAACATGCGCAACAACTGCGGTCGTGATAGCGCGGCTGAAGAGGCTGTCTCGGATCACCCGCTCACATACCTCTTGGCGAGTCCGACGTAAGACCGTGACAACGGACAGATCTGACAGATCTGGCATGCGCATGCATTCTTCCGTTCTTTTGCATGCTGTTTCATACCTACTACAACGCTTCCAGCACATAAGGGCCTATTTCGACGAAATGCTTCATTTCATATGCAAGTGATCTGCTCCGAAGCACACATGCAGGTACCCATAATGTCGCAAGCACCCAAGACCGGGAAGACCCCGCGGCGCAAACATCGGGACATTACGCATCGTGGTGTACGTGGTATAAAGTGAGGCAGTGTAGCTTAGCTTAGGGTTATATACGTTGACTTCAATCCTGAACGGTTCATTCAAGTCTACTCATCATGAAGTCCACCATCATCGCTGCCTTTCTGGGCTTTGCCTCTCTTGCGGCCTCTGCACCTGCACAGCTTGTCGAACGCCAGGCGTCTCTCGAGCAGGTTACCGATACCTACATGTTCGACATTTCCATCGCGGAGTTCATCGCCAACCGTGATGGCAAAGTCGGTCCTCCGGAATTGAACTGGGAGAGCAATGGATGCACTGCTAGTCCAGACAATCCGTTTGGCTTCAACTGTACGTGTTTATTTCCTCATTCATCCATGTCACATATGACCCGATATTCCACCGTCAGTTCGATGCCAGTAGCTAATACGGATGATCACAGTCATCAACTCATGCTACCGTCACGACTTCGGCTACCGCAACTACAAACAACAAGGCCGCTTCGATGCGATGAAGGCGCGTACCGACAGTAATTTCAAGACGGACATGTTCAACCAGTGTGCGACTGAGAAGGCGAAGGGACCATGTGAAGCTACTGCTACGTTGTACTACGAGGCTGTCAAGGCGTTTGGAAAGCGGGAAGAGGAGATGATGGAGTAGACGCAGGATGCGTAATGTGTTCGGATGTTATTGTGTCATGATAGATGGGATCTAAAACGATAGTCCTCAATCTCGGTGGTAATCGATAAGCCACCCTCGGCGCCTTCCCACTCCAGCGCCAATCCCAGCACCCCCATGAACCTTCCAATCAACAACGTCATGCCCTCAGGGTCCAAAACAATAGCTCAACCGCCCATCTAATCTTCCGTACCTTGTCTGACATTTCCACAACATTCCATCATGCATCACTCTGTTGACTCTAACCCTTTCCCACTTACCCAAACCCGTTACTGCCCGCGACACCGACCGAGGTCATCCGAAGTCGCAGACCCTGTGATGCATGCGCGTGGGCTCGCTCTTGGCGCCCGACAATATGGCCGACCATGAGCACCAGCTATACGAGCTCACTGCAGCTTCGTCTTCCTCAGCAACGGAACACGACACGACAACGATGCCGCCGGATGAGCTGGAGGAGACATGCGCTGTGGATGCGCGGTTGCATAAGAGGACGTTGAGGAAACTGGACTGTTTGCTACTGCCGTTTCTGGCGTTGCTGTTCCTGTTTAATGCGCTGGATAAGTCGAATGTATGTATACGCCGACTTTGGCAGTGAGAAGGTTTGCTAATGGGGAACAGATCGGAAATGCAGAGTCTGCGCATTTTACGGCGGATATTGGCTTGGATAAGGGAGCGCTGAATACGGCTGTTGCGCTGTTCTTCGCTTTCTTCGTTGCGCTGCAACCGCTTGGTGCAGCACTGGGAAGAAGGTATGGCATGGTGCTTTGGGTGCCTAGTTGTATGCTTCTTTGGGGTGTTTGCACAGCGCTACATGCGTGGGTGAGGCATAGGTGGCAGCTGTACACGCTGCGCATTCTCATCGGTTGTCTTGAAGGTATGTTGCCTCATGGAATGGAAGTCTACGTCAACTTTGTCGGCTTTTTCAGCTTGCTCCTTCCTCATCCGACTGTCGCTTCCCTTTTCAGACCACAAGGCTAACATTTTCCCAGCCGGATTCTACCCAGTCACCGTCACTTACCTCTCCCTCTTCTACACGCGCTTCGAATTCGGCCGCCGGCTCTCCTTCTTCTACGGTCAGGCGGCAGTTGGTGGTGCGCTTGGGGGCCTTATAAGCTACCTAGTGTTCTCCCACTTCGGAAACGACGATGGAGGTTCAGACAAAGATTGGAAGCCGTGGCAGGTGCTCTTTTTACTGGAAGGCACTCTCACTATCGTGGTGGCTTTCATCGGATACTTCTGGCTACCACACAGCGTGGAGACGGCATGGTTCCTCACACCTGAAGAGCGTCGATATGCGTCTTCGCGTGTGGTGAGAGACAGAGACATACAGAACGCGCCGGCAGCAGTCCAAGAAGATGATCGAGAAGCGGAAGAAACTTACGATGAGGAGTCCCGCGGTCTCCTCGATTCATCCAAACACTCGATCACCTCAGCCACGCCGTCGCGACAGCTGGTCGACGATCGTGGTCTAAGCCCTCACGACGTCCTTTCGTCAGTGTTCAACACGAAGATATGGCACATTCTCGCCTGTAACGTTCTATCTGCCATCCCAGTCTATGCCTTCTCCGTCTTCCTCCCGCTTGTACTGGCACCTTTGACAAAGAAGGCGAATCCTGCGCTTATCAACTTGCTCACTGCACCACCACACATCTGCGGAGCCATAGTACTGTACTTTGCAGCTAGCTACAGCGACAAACATCGTATACGGCTCAAGCCCATACTGCTCGGCCTGTTCATCATGGTAACCGGCCTGGTAATCGTGGTGCTGTTACCGTCCTCATGGGCAATACCCCGCTACATTGCTCTCAACATCCTCCTCTCTGGTACCTATGTTGCCTCTCCGCTCACCGTGGCCTGGATATCGGGCAACACGCCGTCGCCCGGCAAGCGCGCGTTGCTGCTTGGCATCAATGGCTGGGGCAATCTCGCTGGAGTCATCTCAGCGATCCTGTTCCGACCAAAATATGCTGCGGGTGGCTACATCGTGCCTTTTTGGTGGACACTTGCTTCTGTCGCATTAGCCGCTCTCGGCTATGTGCTCTTCCTTAGACGCTTGAAAGTCGAGAATGAGACGCGACAGAACATCTTGCGCAAGTGGAGCGAAGACGACGTCGAGGCAGAAAGGACTCATGGCAGAGGCCCAGTGCCGCAGCAACAGCGGTGGCTGAAGAAGTTCATCGGTATGACGCGGTCGCATACGAGCCTTGCCTGGCTCGCGGATTGGCTTGAGAAGGCTGCGCGAGCTGGCAGGGAGGGCGACGATAGGCTTACGTTCGTCTATGGATTGTGAAACAAAATCTGCTGTACGACACTACGAAAGAGCATTCTCTGCATCATCAATGTCTGCGTTATCTCATAGGTGATCATGAAGCATGCAGCATGCATACGTGTCAGCTGCCAGGTTTTCGAGCGGCGCGCAGCGCTGTGGAGAAGCTGTACATCTCAGCTTGGCGACGTGACAGCCGCCACAACATTGGCAGCTGAAATGCGGTTGACTGATAGTACATCGAACAGACCCGTTTCTGTCTTCCTTAGTCTTGCCACCAGCTTCGACCTCCACTGGGTAATAGACCTTTCGAGTCCGGCTGCCATCATCCAACAAACGAGAGGACTTTCACACATCGCGCCGTGGCCGCGTGAACTGTCCTCCGCTTTGAACGGCGGCACAGTGAAGATGGCGAATGCGACTATACCCAATGGAACACATTACCACTCCTGGAAACCAGAACCTTTGGTCCGCGGCACGTGGTCCATAGTATCATCATCTCTTCTTACGATGATCCTGTGTGTTTGGACAGCCGTCCACTTGAACATCCCCGAGTATGAAAATGAGATAAGCCGAGCGCAGACCCGGCTAATCAAAACGCAAACCTGGCGGAAGTCGGGCTGGATGATTATAGCGCTTCTGGCTCCGGAGTGGGTACGTCAAACTTCTCCATCGCACACCTCATGGATGCTGATCAATGAATAGGTTCTTTGGACTGCTTACATTGAACACATAAACGCAGTAGAGATCGGAAAAGTCATGAGGAAGGCTTTTGATCAACCGAAGCCCCGAGGGCTCATTGGTACGCTTTCGACGACGCTGCGTCATTTCTTCCGATCCGCCTCACAAAAGTCGAGTGGGGTTGGAGTGGAAACAGGCCTGACCAAACGGCTGGAGAAGCACCCTCGACCCACGAATGCACAGCCCGATACGAAATGTCAAAGACACCCATGGACGCACTGTCATTCTCTATACGCTACGATGGGCGGTTTTGCCATTGATACTCGCGGCCTAGACCTAGCCTATCTTCCTGGCGGGCGGCAAAGGATGACATTGACATTACCGGGTCTTAAGTACATTTCCGAACATCATCCCGAACTGATTCCAGATATACCCGAATCAGAGATACAAGATAAGAGCAAAGCCAGCATGTTCACCAAGATCTTGACTTGCGGACAAGCGCTTTGGTTCGGCATCCAGTGTTTGACACGATCCACTCAAGGTCTTTCGATATCGCTTCTGGAGATCAATACTGCCGTGCATGCAGTATGCGCTCTGTCTCTATACTGGTTTTTTTGGTGGAACAAGCCTCTAGATGTTGAGGAGCCGACTATCTGCACGAATGCAGACATACATCCAATTGCCGCGTTGGTAGCTGTTTATCAAATGTATCCATGTGTGCAGCCAGTGCGGACGGATGTTAGACAGGACGCAGACCCCTACGCATTTTCCAACTTAGGAAACTCGGAGCCGCATCCTGTTCTTACGCACATCTCACTCAGGCAAGCCAGGATCGGACCCAATGGGGAGGGCCAGCATCTCATATATCAAGGTTTTGCGTTCCCCACATATGAAGAAGGATTCGCATACAAAGATCTTACTGAATTGGACTTTCGACGCTTCGATTTAGCCTCAAGAGCTGATAGGAAGATCAACTTGCACGTTGTTTGTTCGAAACGCGCTTTCTTGAGTGTTCGTTCGCGCAATCGCCCAAAGATTGTGCTTGCTCCGCGTCAACATGATACGCGACATTTAAAACTCGGTTACGACAAGCGGCCTCATTTCGATACAACAAGGAGTGCCCCTACAAAAGGGTTTGTCCTGGCTGGTCTCTTCTACGGCAGTGTGCACCTGCTTGTATGGAATCGACCTTTTCGCCACAGTACCGATGAATTGCTTTGGAAAGTGAGCAGTCTCACCATTCTGGGATCAGGCCTTCCATATGCTCTCTGGTGTCTAGCCATGGATCTGCGCGATGGGGTTTGGGGCGAAGCTGCACAACTTCCACTCCATGAGCGGCCCAAGAGCATCTGGAAATACACTTTCCCACAGGCCTTTCACACCCTTAATCTCATCTTCAAGTTCATTCCTGTTCTTCCCGTTCTTTTCTACATTTCCTGTAGGACCTTCATCATCGTCGAATGTTTCCTCGACGTCTTTCATCTGCCGGACTCCGCTTTCGAAGTTCCGAGGTGGTCGCAGTACTTCCCGCATATCGGATGATTTATCACAGTCGATGTAAGAATGGGCAAGGATTGTATCTAACTCCAGATCACAAGACCTTCACATGTACCATGCATCCATCTACATTGTTTTGTCTCTGTAGAAGGCGTATGACAGTCTAAACAATGTCTCTTATCAATGTCGCAGGACCTGTGGCGCAGCCCAGAGACATGTCTGCTACTCTGGCGAATTTGAGCAGGATGTTTCGCGTAGTCGGCGATGTTGCGCGAGCGACATGTGTGAAGATCATCGTAGTCAGCGCCGACGTTGCATGCGCGCGTGACAGCCTTCAGCCCCAACGCTATGCGCAGGTACCCGTACCGCATCTCTTGAATGTCTGTGCTATCCTGAGCCCTCTCGTGATATCTCTCGGTGCTCAGCAGCACTCTGCGCCTGGCGGTGTACTTCAGCCAGCGGTTTTACCCTGCCTCTCGCACACGCAAAATCGCATTCGACGAAACCAAGGCATCGGTAACGCTTGCACTCAGACAAAGCTCTCCTCGGTCTTCACGCTCAACTCGTTCACGACCGTCATGCAAAGATGCGCCTGGAAGCGCCTGAACCTGCATGTCACAGACCGTCGCCTAAATCAGCCGTTTAACCGCAGGTTCTTCTACGTTTTACATCTTTCCCCAAGGCCGCATGTTTGAGAAGGCAGCATGTGTTTCAAGTGCAAGGCAGCGCTTCGGTTTCGCTTGTCGACTCGGGTTTGACGGCACGCTTGTGGTTGGGTAGTGTGGCGTTGGGTTGTGATGGGGTGTAACACGGTTTTTTGGACGCCACAACCAAGGTGCTAGTTCACGAGAGAAGATCATTGTAAGTATACTGTATCTCGCGAGACTAGAAATAACAGCACACCGATCCATCTCGGCCATACTCCCTACGCACAAGAATCATTGTTTTGCCCGCCCGCGATCCCTCGGTTCACCATCCCCGCCAGGGCCCGACCACCCGGCCAAAGGTTTGAGATGTGCATGATCGACTGCCTGCGACTTGCCTCAGGATCACCGTCCCAGGATACCTTTTATGGAAAGCAGCGAAATAGGTATCAATGCTCTATACTCAGAAGAAGGAGAGCCTCTCACAGCAAGTATAAAGCACGCATCTTCCCCTGCCCATACTGCGATTCTCAAGCCAGTCTTCCAATTCACATCTACATTTATTCTTTATTCACTACCCGCTGTGCGGATCAATTACTTTCACTCACCCATCACCTATCACCAACTTTCGAATCAATAACCAGTTGCTTAATACCTCAAAACCAAACCAACAAACTTCGCAAAACCAACCGCCAAAATGCAGTTCTCCATCACCGCCCTCCTCTTCGGCCTCGTCGCCGTCTCCTCCGCCGCCATCGCCGATGTCGAAAACGTCCGCAACACCCCCCGCGCTATCCTTGAGAACAGGCAGGCTGCTAACGGTGCATGCTGTATCCCCGAGCAATCGCTCAAGCAGGATGCTTGCACTGTTAATGGTGCGGCTGGCAAGTGTGTGCCTGGTGGACCTGCTGCTTGTACGTATTCATATCCATATCCATAAGACACTGGACGGTGTTCTTGGGGTGGTAGGGGGTATATGAGACGATGCTAATGTGAATTAAGGCAACGGCGCTCTCAACTGCGTAGCCAACGACCAGCTCGTATGCGACAACAACGTCCAGGAGCGCTCTGGTAACTTGTGCCGTTTCCAGGCTGCCAACGGCAAGATTCAGGATGGTGCTCAGCAGATTAACAGCTTGGCTCAGGCTAAGGTTAACTAAGAGAGTGAATGATGGGGGTTGTGTGAAGGGTTGATGGGTGGATCTTTATAGCAAGGTGGATAGATAAATGTATTTGTGGATTGAATAAGTGGCTTGTGACTGGATGTTCGGAGTGATGTGGTAAATGCTAAGTCGCAGATTGGAGCTGATCACAGTGTGCTAACCAAAAGTTCTTATGCCTAAGCTCTTTTGAAGCACATAGCCGTTATCTTATGCTTTATTCTTAGCGTTTCGGTACACATGTAGATATACCTGGAGTCAGTTCAGATATTCGCGCTTCACAAGTCCCAGAGCACATCTCATTACAAGCAGATACTTCTCTTCCAGTGCTAACCTCTTTCCTCCTGATATTGGTCTACTACTCAAGCTGAGATGTATTGATCAATGCATATATTCGTGTATCATAACCTCCAAATGTCTTTATCTGCCCTATGAGCCATGATTCATATCCAAACTTCATCAACCCCATGACCCACACCTCATCTCACAACCATCTACCGTCCCCACCCCGCAAACCGTCCAATCTCCTTAACCTCCCTCCTGCCCACAACACCCGCCGCAACAGCACACACCGCACCAACACCAACAAGCAGCGCGCGCGCCAAGTTCAAGCTAGCCCACTTGTCCATCAGTTCCTTGACTGTCTCGCCTTCCTTGGCAAACTGCTCGACGTGCTTGTCGCGGAGGGAGGCGTTGGCGAGTTCGTCTTTCTTTGCCATGAGTTTGTTGTTTGTGGGGCCGAGGACGAGGATCGTGAAGGGGACGATGGAGGGGAGGAGGAGGGTGGCGAGGGCGTTGAGGCGGAAGGGGGTGGATGTGCGGTCTTCTGTTGGGTTGTTAGTTATATATTGTTCGTGGGTGGCTTGGGATTGGAGTGGCGGCATGGGTGTTGGAAGGGAGATAGAAATGGAATAGGACGTACGGTGATAAGCCAAGTATCCCGTTGCCAGCGCTGAGATAGCAGCCAAAGGACGTGCAATTGCGCCGCCGCGTGTGAAGATTGTGTACCATTGCTTTACGGCGAGGGGTGCGGGGGCCTGCATGGCGGCGGGGATGCCGACGACGGAGAGGGAGACGTTGGAGCCTGGTATATACATCAGTCATAGCTCTCTAGAGGAAATATCTGCCCATTGACCACCATAGAGATGGTCATTGAGTGCCAGAGTGTCTTACCAACCAGGAATACACTGCCTGTGATGCCCACCGCCTGTGCGATCGCCAGCGCCGTGGGCGTCTTCTGCGTGAGGATATCCATTGCGTTTGTGTAGATGAAGATGCTTCAATTGAGGTCTCCAAAGCGAGTTTTATGACTTGTCAAAGCGGTGGCCTGACTAAGAGAATGATGGTCGTGGTCGGCGTGATAGCTCGGAGACGCGCTGCAGGGCTTGGCCGTCAGGCTTCCCAGCTTCCCCGCGGATCCCGATCGCGTCGACTGAAGCTCCGCACTCCGATGCATGCCATAGGTCAACCACGTAGCTCCGACTACTTGCTTTTGCCCTCGCCATCATCACGGGGGGCTGGATGTGGCTTCTTTGTTGCACAGATCTTAATGTAGTTATATTCCTATTCCTAATTGTTGTGCCTGGGTGAGACGCGTCGCTTATTGCCGTGAAACTGTAGAAGCATCATCAACGAGCGCTCGACGTACATAAGCTTAGCTTCTCTCAAGCCTCTTGCCGATAAACTTGCTTTTGATCTTCAAGATTAACCATAACATATTCGTGCTCAATCCACGCAAGGTCTTACATAGAACGGCATCCGCGCCGCAACCTGTGCCCCATCGCAACCCTCACCACCATCTAATCAGCTATCAGACCAATCCACCAGCCATGTTCTGTACGTCCCTCACCCCTATTCACCTCTCTCTCCCTAACAGCCCTCAGCTCTAAACACAACCGCAACCCTCCACCACGTAACGCACCTCCCGCGCTCCGTCTCCTTCGCGACAGCCGTCTCCCACCTCCACAACCACGTCCTCCTCATCCGCCTCGACCCCGAATACGCCTCGCACGAAGACCTCCCCAGCGACCCCTCCACCCCAGACGCAAAATGCTACCGCATAACCGACCACATGAACGCGCTCCCCGCCGGTCTCTGGGACACAACCGTCAAGTTCGACGCCCACATGACTGATCTCGACGACGGCGTATTATGGACTATCAAGGCGCCGCTGGGTCTCACTCAGCAGACTACGTGGCGGTGTTTGAAGACGGAGGGGTTGAGTGAGGAGGATAGAGAGGGGGCTGAAGGGTGCGAGTGGAGTCTTGTGGAGGATGTGGAGATTAGGGCGAATAGGATGTTGGTGGGGACGGTCAAGGCGAAGTGTGAGGAGAATTGGCCGGGGGCGCATGGCAAGTTTTTGAAGTATTGTACGGGGGAGACGGCGGCATAGTGGGATATGGATGGGAGGGGGCTTGTATTCGGGTTTACAATATGCTGGAGTATCGTGACTTGGCCCTGGGGATTGATATCCTGAGCACAGCGCAAGTCTCTATCCACTAGATCTGTAGCAGTTCTAGATGCGAACACTATCCCAGGTCTTTACGTTATAAAAACTTTACGCTAAGATCAACGAACTCTTGTTGTCAAACCTAATGGACAACAGCTTCAACATGCTTGGTGCAATCCTCACCCGCCTGTCAGGAAACATGGAGAAGCCCGGCTGAATGGTCCATGTGCCGTTGGGCCCAAGGACGTATTTTGCCTGGCGTCTGGGGCGAAAAGTTCCAAGGCGGAGCCTCTGCATCTAGAAGACATCCAGATTGGCGGAATTTGTACCAGTGGCGGGTCGTGGATGTCGGCTAGACGCAAAAAGGCTGCTGCTGGTTGACCCTGCATAACACCAACTGCAGGTTGGAGACCTGACCCTGAATGCCGATGCCTTCTCTTCATATTTTGAACCTGAAGCAAACGTCCATCTCGCAAGATGAGTGAGATGCCTGTAATCCAAGGCTCTTATCAGCTCACGCGACACTGCTTCAACGGTCAAGCGACCAATGTCTCTCTTCGGAGGTGCGCTGGTGACATCGGAGGCCGCACGTGGCGCGCCCCCAATCGGGCCTTCCGGATCTACGCGATAGCAACGATAAGACATTGGACAACAGCAACTCGCTGCACATGGAAGAGCTGCACGTCGCTGCTGCTGGCATCCTTCGCGTCACTTGGTCGCACACCATAAGCATCGCACCCAGATGCCCTCAAGTGATGCCCGCTCGCCTCGTCAGCCAACAGCCAAGAACCCTTCTTGAACCGAAAGGCTATTGATCGGCCTCTGGCTCGCCGCATAACACGGGCCATATCCCCGCCTTTCTAGACTGCACTGAACTGCGCGTTCCGCCATCCGCTCAGCTATCAAAAACCGCGCACCCAACCACCGGGTCAGCGTCAGCTCCTCTTGCGTTCGTTCCTTTTCGCTGGTACGGGTCTGTTCCCACCTTCTCATCCTGCCATCTTGCTCCAGTAGACGTGACGATATCCTCCCTCGGTCTTCGACTTCTTTGATCCTCCACCTTCCCCGCTTATCGCCGAGCACGCGTACCGCACAGCCACGCTCACCATGGAGCCTTTGTCCATCGATTCCGTGGTTGTCGACCACAGCGAAATGCGTCCCGCGCCGGGAACCCCGCCATCAGACGCCATCATGATCGAGCAGCCAAAGCTCAAGGGCAGACAGCGCCTTCTCAAGGGTCTACAACGGATGGGCTCGTCCTCGAGTCTGGCGAACTTGGGTAGACCCCGCTCTCACAGTCTGAGAAGCGGCGGAAAGGCATCCATGTCTTGCGTCTCCCTCGCATCGCCTGGCTCGCCATATGGAAACTCATTTGGCAGTTCTTACTCCTCCGAACTGTCGAATGGCTTCTCCACAGCTCCTACCTCCGTCGCCAACAGCCCACCTGGCACTCCCTTCTGGGACGAGAGGACCCGTTTGCGGATGAAGACACCAGATATTCCATCCTCAGTGCCTCTTCCTTCCGCCCGACGACCATATACACGAGATGGCATTGAAGCCGAGAACGACTACTTCTCGCGGCCCGTCCACAAGGTTCAGAAGCGGGCAAACTTCAACTTCTGGAGCGATATGCCAACGGAGATCCGCATGCAGATCCTGAGATACCTCGAGCCAAAGGAGGTTGTGCGTTGTTCGCGCGTCTCCAAGTCGTGGCATACCATGTGCTTTGATGGTCAACTGTGGAGCGATCTCGATACAAGCAAGTTCTACCGCGACATCTCTGCCAACGCTTTGGTCAACATCATCACATCGGCTGGTCCGTTCGTGAAAGACTTGAACCTAAGAGGTTGCGTACAACTGAGAGAACACTGGGGCAAGGATGGCTTCATTGAGTCCTGCCAGAACCTGGAGAACTTCTCGCTCCAGGGCTGCCGGATCGACCGGACATCTATCCACTGCTTCTTACTCCAGAACAGTCGCCTCGTCCACGTCAATCTCTCGGGTCTTGCGGGTGCGACGAACGCAGCAATGAAGATCCTTGCTGCACATTGCCCGAAAGTCGAAGTCTTGAACATTTCATGGTGTAATAACATCGACAACAGAGGGCTGAAGAAGGTTGTTGAGGGATGCACGAAGCTGCGCGATCTCAGGGCAGGCGAGGTGCGAGGCTGGGACGATGTCGAGCTGATGGTCGCACTGTTCAAGCGCAACACTCTTGAGAGGCTCGACCTGAAGAATTGCGACAGTCTCAATGACGAAGCACTGGCTGCTTTGATTGAGGGCGTGGACGAAGAGGTTGATGTCCTTACCGATCGCCCAATCGTCCCACCAAGAATCCTCAAGCATCTGAACCTTACGCGCTGCCGCAGCATTACGGATGCAGGCCTGAAGACATTGGTACACAACGTCCCGTCTCTAGAAGGTCTTCAAGTCTCAAAATGCGGTGGCCTAACAGACGATGCCTTGACCAGCCTCCTCCCCACCGTCCCCGTCCTCACCCATCTAGACATCGAAGAAATCGACAACCTAACAAACGAAGTCTTGAAGACCCTATCCGAATCCGCCTGCGCCCCCCACCTCCGCCACCTCTGCATCTCGTACTGCGAAAACCTCGGCGACGTCGGCATGCTCCCCGTCCTAAAAGCCTGCACCCGTCTCGCCTCCCTCGAAATGGACAACACACGCATCTCGGACCTCGTCCTCGCCGAAGCCGCTTCCGGCCTCCGCAACCGCAACCGTGCCGCCCGCGGCCTCACAAACTCCGAACGCCCCGAAGTAGGCCTCCGCATCGAAGCCTACGACTGCGCAAACGTGACCTGGACCGGCGTCCGCGAAGTCCTATCAAGAAACGCGGAGATCACAAGACCGAATTCGCGGTCTGCGAGTAAAGTCGCGACCTACCCAAGTGAAATTATTAAGCTAAAGTGCTTCCATAATTGGCAGCCGACGGTTGAGGAACATACCAAGCGTGTTCTGAGGGGTGACTTTGCGGCCGCGGCGCGGCTGGAGAGGAAGTGGGCGGATTGGATGATGTTGAATGAGGAGGCGGGGGTTGGTGGGGCGGGAGCGCGGCGCAGGAGGAGGCGCGCGAGAGAGGCGCAGATGATGCATGCGGATGAGGAGGAGGCTGGGGCTGGGGCTACGGGTGGGGGCGGGAGGAGACGCCGCGCAAGAAGTGGCCCTGGCGGGTGTGCTGTGATGTGATTGTGGATTGATGGGGTTGGGTGGGTCTTGGTGTTGAGTGCATCTCCACCGCAGGCTTGTGGCGTTTTCTTTTGAGATGGTAGTTGGCCCCAGGTTTGTGGGCTGATGCTGTGATGGTGGTTATGGCATGAGATGAGTATGATGAACATGAGTCTAGGATTTTGTTTTCCGAGCGCGAACATTAGATCTCAATGATGTTTTGGCATTGGATGTTTGGAGTTTGAGGCTGGGTACTCTTGGACAAATGTAGATCAGCATATGCTGCATGCAGTACAGAGATCAACATATTTTCATACTTGTTCAACACATCGATTTCCATGCAATCATATCGCACTCTAATGGGTTGTGTGATGAAGAGAGCAGCGTCCGCACGTGAGCGCGTGACTGGCTCGAACTGGCGACGCGTCGTTTGCTGGTTGCGTTACATCATCTCGGACTCAACCCCATCTCGGACTTAATTCCATCCAACAAACATGCGAATATTATCACAAGCTAGCAAGGCCGCCTACTATTCTTGCGTTAGTATCGAGCAAGCATAACGTGCTCTCTAACCATAGATGACAGAACGGTTTCTCGGAACATGAAGTATCCGGACCAGAGGCGGCGTGGGTCTGCTTATGAGAGAAGCGCGGAAATCTTCCGAGACACTAGGTAGCATTACGAAGGAGCTCGTTTTTAGTGTGTCGTAGAGTCTGTGCGGATTTTGGTGTTAGCCTACAACACACCAAAAACGAGCGTCTTCGTAATCCGGCAATAGATCTTGGCACCATTGTCATAGTAAAGCCTCTTCTCGCGATTGCTAAGCCGGTAGTGTTACAAAGCTGGTAGCCCAAGCATGGGATATGCATTGGACGAACGGTACTGATCATGTCTAAGTCACCCTAGAACAGGCCCACGAGGCAGTGCGTCAGCACTGTAACTCCTCGGCGCTGCCCGCCGGAATGCCCCCTGGGAGGTCACATATAGGCGTTAAATGAATATCATCATCAATCTAATCAAGTTTTCAAATAGGGAATATAAACACTCTGCCACCTCACGATACACGAACCAAGAAACTCACACTCAACACCTCTCTGACAGTCTCCAATCACTTCTTTCTCAGCATCTAGATGGCGGAGTATCAGAACAAAGCGGCATGGCTACCAGGCGTAGGGAAGCAGGCCGAAATCGGTCCTGCCGATATCCCCGAACCGGGCCCAGAGGAACTTCTCATCGAGGTAAAAGTGGTCGCTGCCCAGCCAGCAGAATACAAGATCCAAGAGGGAACACTCCCGTATCAGCTGAATTACCCCACTATTATTGGAAGTCAGTATCCGTTTCCAGCAGAGTGCCGCTATAGAACATGGTTGCTAAGTCGAGTGCAGTATCATTTTCTGGCGTGGTCGTCAAAGTCGGCACGGAGGTCAGCCGCTTCAAGAAGGGCGACCGCATCGTCACCAACAGCGCTGGAAGTATCCGCAACGATCCTCGATTTGGAGCATATCAGAGATATGCGGTTACCACGCAAGAAATGACAGCGAAGGTAAGGGGACGAGATGCCCAGCTTAAGTCTCGCGATGTAACCAACTGTCTGCTAACAACATGGCCTTGCAGATTGGACAAGTGTCCTTCGAAGCTGCGGTATCCATCTCCAGCCTGGCCTATCCTGCCAGTGCGCTTTTTATACACCTGCACCTTGAGAAGCCAGCAGAACATGCCAATCCCGAGAACAAGAACAAGAAGGTGCTTATCTGGGGCGC